GGTGGACAGTAAATTTCGACCCGATTCCGTAGCTACCGAGGACCATGAACACTTAAAGTAAGGGGCTGCGTTCTTTCGATTTAATTTAATTTGTTTTCAGTCCGATTGCTGCTAAACAGGTTTAACTGTATAACGCGAAAAATAATAAAATTAATGGAAATTGTAATAATTTTTTATACTCCCGTACTTTGCCGTACCGGCTCCATCCGAATTCATACCGTGAACAAAATTAGTACGAAGGGCAAGTGACAACATAAAAGTGAAACTGGAACAAGTGCTGGCAAAACAATAGCCGAAGCTGCGATTTCAGCTAAGAATACAGCAAATGCATTTTAGCCAATACAGTAATCCCCCGCCATTTCGCGGTTTTTTCTTCGCGGAGTTGATACCTCGCGGTTTTTTCTCCTATTACATATTTTACCGATTTTCGATATTTCACAGGATTTCTTATATTTCTCATATTTACTTACGTATATTCATAGGCGCATGTTACAGCGTTTAAGAGCCTAGGAGGCATTTAGAAGAACGTTGGAACAAGTATTACGTTTTATAAGTGTGAGTGAAATGTTTATCACTGGGGCTGGGTTTGGCTAACTGACGATTACTAATAAGCCAGAAATGGTCATTCCAGTCTTCCTTGTCTTTGCCGGCAATAATATCTGCCTAAGACTACTAGCCGCGACGGCTGCTACCAGGGACCCAGAAATGGTGCCAAAGGGAGAACGTAACAAGAGAGTTCCGTTAGCAATTGATGAAGGTTTTATCAACAAGAATATGATCCGCATTCGTAAACAACATAAACTGCAGCCGAAAAGTCCGTATGTAAACATGTTGTATAAATTCCGAAGTCAGCAATTTTCATGATTTTTTGTCTAATTACCTCGGTATTTGCACGCTCCTGCAGCCCTGACTGTGCTATACGACAGCAGCCTTACTTAACATTCATTCCATTAGCTGATTTGTTTTTGAATTTCCATGGCAAATACAATATTAAAAATAATAAATACAAGTCATTTTTTCAAGTAGCCTAGCGCAATCTAAAATGTGAACACTTAGCAACTCAGCAGGAAACGGGGTTGCTGGACCAAGGGTAATATTTACCTGTAATTTTTGAATGACACTGGAGTCTACCATCAGTATTTTAAAATTGTTTACAGAAGAATACTTGAGGGAAATAAAATCACATAGGGCAATTCAACTATTTCTTCAACCTACATTTTGGACGCCAGCGGTACTCTGTTATGATCTAGTCCATGCTTCTTTTGTGACTTCTTCTTTTGGCATCATAAGTCTTCTGCCTTCTTTTGTGTTGTCGACGCCATTACCAAAAATGCAGTCTACATTTGATAGTTGACCTATTCTGCACATAGACTATACGTTATAATTTGACCTGGCGAACTTTTCTTGTGAAAAGCACTGTAGAATAACGATTTTTTCAACTGTTGTGAATATATTCTGTTTCTGAATTCATAAAAAAATAAGGGACAAAAGTGTCTTTGTATGCGTTAGATTTCTACCTATTGATCACAAATACGCTGGATGTTGGACATAACTGTTGTTACTAGCAATCGACACTTATTCTCTTGAAATACTGTCTTCATATATCGAGTCATTTTCTGAATTCAAACAATTTTTTTGTTCCTCGCTGTTCTTCTTCTTCATATGCTTCTGTTTGTCCCTACTGACATTCCTTGCTCCGTTCCATCCCAATCACCTGAATTCCTAAATTTTAGAAATTAATGAGCTCGGACGATAAAAGACAGATTCGACATCTTATTGGCGTAGAAGTGCACTTAGAGGAAATTAATAGGACAGCGAATACGTGTGTGTCAATTTTATAAGGAATTGTTTATATAGGGGTTACGAACTTTGTCGCCATGGATAAAGTTATTTCAAACACCATTATAATTTTGACCACATCTTAGACGAGGTCGTCAAAACCACTTGCGTTATGGGTGGTTATCTTTCCCGTGTACTGCTAGGGCGGCCAAAGTTTGCAATTATGAACATTTTAAACCGTAAAGTACCAACGTAAGTAATGCTGTATCTGCATGTTTACTTTTTCTGTCAAGCGTCATGAACCCTATATAAAGGCATTCCAATAATGTAGTAGAGTTTATGGTTTTCTTTGTATGGGAAGTATACAACATTTAAACTTTAAACTGTAATCGGCAATGCAACAGAAAGCATGCTCAAAATTATTTATTAATCTAAAAACTTTTCCAAAAAACAAAATATACTGCCTCGTGAAGTGTAAAATTTTAAATATCTTTGATTTGTAAGTAAATGCATACAAAGTAGAAGATAGTTTGTACATTTATAAAAATAATAGTTTGTTATATGTATATTAAGTAAAAGTTCATTTTTACCGAACATCCTACTTATAGACGGATAAAACGTGCAGTTAGAAGCCGGCATCTTGACCTGACTGAATAATGTTGGTGCAGAACAGCACGTTATCAACACTCCGACCTCAATAAAGTGAATCTTTCTAATCGAAAACATATGTCCAAATTTTTGTCAACGTGTCATGATATTGTTTACTGACTGAAAGCGCTTTGCAGATCAGTTTTATTACTATAATTTGCAAAAACATATCCAGGGAGTTTTGTCACCGTCTGATCTTTTTAAAGTCATTCTTCCTCACTGCCTCGTGTCATTTGGCATTGCCACTAAGTTGAGGTATCAAAGAACAACTGCACAAGTTTGCTCCATAGCACTAAGATATTTTGTGACTATTTCTTTTTGTCGATCCGTACAGATATAACACACGCCTCTGTACTTGATGTTACATTTTTTAAAATCTTGACATTTTTACGTGCATTTAAAAAAATAAGGATTTAAAAGGTAAGCACCAACTGAACTGAATGTTTAAAGTTAAGGCGCGTCAACACCGGCGGAGAGTGGCCACTTAAAAGTAAGAAATGCATTCACCACTGTAGTTCTCTGTCGCAAAAGGTGTAAAATCTCGCTCATCTCGCGCAGGAGACTGATATTAAGCTTTTAGTTTTTGCAACGTGAAGGCTATATCGGTTTGCCTTAAACCCATTGTACTTTTTCGAACGCACCGATTCAGGTGACTTTTTACCACCAGAACAGCCTTTTCTATCCTCAGTCCCATCTCACTTCGTACATGTGCTAAACTTGTTATAAGGTATGACTATCGCGGCGTACTTGCAGGGCAGCCCTGGACATGTTATCAGCTGGGTTAGTTAAATATATTCACCCTCTATAGACATTACGGAGATAATCCTTGGCTTCTGCCTCGTAAAGCTTGTCTTCTTCCAGTGATATACAAACCACCTTACTGGAAAAGATTTTTACACATTTCCATGTGCAGTGGACTTAACATCTGTTCGGCCTTTATTTTAGGGCATTTTGTATATTTTTAGCGATAAAGAGCAGGTTTTCCCAACTAGAACCTGCTAATTGCTGCAAGACCACCTTCATGCCGCGTATACTAACATGTAATCAAGGCAATTTCTCTTTGAATTTACAAATTTAGAACAACACATAGTATGACTCGCGGACTAGTGGAGAAGAATCAACCAAAATATCAGTCAACGACTTTGAAAGACGTTCCGGAACTCCGGTACTTCCAAGAACGCATGCAGGTTAGTTCTACCAATTTCCTAGCATTCAGTTTCTTAAATTTGTGAAAACCTGGTTCTTCGGCGTAATAATTCACCGCTGAAAAATTGCCATTTGATTACTCATAATGAAAGTACATTGTGCACTGCAAAATGAAAGGGTATTTTTGGTTTTTTATGAGGTCACTTAGCATTTTTCTGCCATCTTTAATGCTTTACTTTGGAAAACATTCTTTTCATATAAAACATGAATATTT